ACATCATCGTCTGTGGATTGATAAGCCTGAAGGCATCAATCACAACTTTCCCTTTCACACTCTGGATTGGATCCACGACAACCGCCACAGCTCTTTGATTCAATGCTTCAAAGCTCTGCACAAGTCAAGTTCCAAAACATATCTGTGAACTCCATCCAAAGTGAAACAAAGACTAGACTTTTTTCTACTTGCCTGTTGAGTATTGATATCAACTCCAGAAAGCCAGCACCCGAATCCAGGATGTGAATGATACCATCCTACAACCATTTCCGATCTGCAAAAAACTTCACACTTAATCCCACAAGAGAAAAGAAAAATGTGATAAGAACCTTCCTGTTTGTTTGAGCATGTCCATCATCTTGGTCTGGAAAACTGGATCTACAGCCTCGACGCTGACACCAGTGCCACTCTGCGGCATCGCGAAAACATCGATGACCCGGACAGTGTACTCATCCACAAAATCACCTAGCATGAGACCCATAACTTCCATTGGCACACCAGCTCGTCCTGGAAAACCAAGTAGCAAGGTTAAGTTTCAAACCAAAGGAAAAAACAAGAATAAAGAACTAAGAAACGAGCATGGGATCGAGCACCATGGCATGGCAAAATCATGGAACGAGCAAAGCACTGCGCTTAGAAACAATCCATCTTGCTCGAGCAGCAAGGTATGGAAAGATCCAAGCGAAATCCCGCAAGAAATCTAAGTTTTCAAGGACCTACCGTGCTTGAGCATCTTGAGAAGCGCGAGCGATGAGATGTAGACTTGCTCCGACGTATCGACCAGCGGCGAGTCGGGATGCGGGCCAGCGCCTCCTCCTCCCATCCCCGAAAACATCCGCTGTAGACGCTCCATTCTCTCCATCCAAAAACTAAGAACCCTAATTCTTTCAAGCACGGCTATGGCGGACAGTAACGCAGTCTCTCTTCTACAAGTTCTATGGGGCACGGTCTCCCCACACAAGATCGCATTCATCGATTCCAAAACGAACCAGAGGATCTCTCACGGAGATCTGAGGCGCAGCGTCGCCGCCGCCGCCTCAGGCATGGTATCGCTCGGGATTTGCCCTGGCGATGTCGTGCTGATCGTCCTGGGCAACAGCATCGAGTTCGTGGTGCTCTTCCTCGGCGTCTTGGCGCTCGGCGCGACTGTGACGACGGCGAATCCGCAGAATACTGTCAAGGACATCCAGCGCCAGGTCGCGGATTCTCGTGCCAGGTTCGTCTTCTCGTCCGGGAGCTTGGCTTCCAAGATCCAGGAGCTGCGATTGCCGATGCTCCTCGTCGGTAAGCCAGGATTTCCTGTCAGCCATGTCTCCTACGAGGATTTGCTGGACGATGGGAATTCCAGCGCCATGGATTTGCCAGCGAAGAAGAAGCTCAGTCCAGCGGCATTGCTCTACTCCTCCGGGACGACTGGCGTGAGCAAAGGAGTGATTCTATCGCATGGAAACTTGGTCGCGGCCATGGAAACGCTCTACACCGCTCGAAAGGAGCCAGTGCCGGAGGACGAGGTCTCGCTCGGAATGCTTCCATTCTTTCACATCGCTGGACTGATCTATGGGGTACTGGCCACGATCTACAGTGGAACAACGATGGTGGTGGTCGCAAAGTTTGAGCTCCTGGAGATCTTCGAGACCATCGAGCGCTACAAGGTGACGCAAATGACCGCGGTCCCTCCAATGATCATTGCGTTTATCAAGCACCATAGCTCGAGCAAGAGGTATGACCTGAGCTCTCTCTCGCGCGTGGTGTGTGGTGCCGCGCCCCTCGGGAGAGAGACTCACGAGGCTTTTCTTCGCTTGTATCCACAGGTGGCTCGATTTCCACAGGTATTCTTCGAGTTTTTCCTCGTTTTCATGGTTCTTACAGCTCTTTTTTGTTTTTGGTTTTGTTCTTTCGACAACTTTGGTGGCAGGCTTATGGCATGACGGAGACGACGGGACTGGGATTTGGAGCTTCCAAAGATACTGTGGTCGGCTCGGCTGGGAAGATCATGCCGGGTTTTGAAGCGAAAGTTGTGGAGGTAGGCACTGGTCGAACTCTCCCTCCTGGTTCGCAAGGTGAACTGTGTCTACGCGGTCGTTGCATCATGGAAGGTGAGTTTCCTTTCTCGCTTTCTCGTTTCCAACTTTTGGATCTAACAAGCACTGGTTGGCTGTGAGTAGGATATCTTAACAATCCCAAAGCAACTTCCGAGACCATTGACAAGGATGGATGGCTGCATACTGGGGACCTTGTCCTCCTTGACACGGATGGAAACATGTTTGCCATGGATAGGCTCAAAGAGTTGATCAAGTACAAGGGCTTTCAGGTATTTCCGCTCGATGACGCGTTGTGAACTACTAAAAAATCTTGAGTGTAGGTGGCGCCTGCTGAACTGGAGGCATTGCTTTTGAGTCATCCTGCGATCCAAGACTGCACTGTTGTTCCGTAAGTAACGCACACGTAGCTGTTCACTCAACTGGTGTATTTATTGCTGTTGCAGATTTCCAAACGAAGAGGCAGGCGAGGTCCCCCTTGCTTATGTCGTTCGTGTACCTCATTCCACTCTCTCCGAAGCGGAAGTTGTGGATTTTGTTTCGAAACAGGTTTGGGCAAGAAACCAGAATGCGTTTCTAAGATTGCTTCGCACAGGTCGCTCCCTACAAGAGAGTCAGACAAGTGCGATTCCTGGACGCCATACCAAAGTCTGCCACGGGAAAGCTCTTGAGAAGAGAACTCGTCGCTCGTTCTCGCTCCAGGCTTTGAAGGTGTTTGCGTGGTGCACGAGTGAAAGGCTTGAGAATGTTCCAAGAGATGGTATGAATTCGTAATCATCACAGGCGTGTATATAGTGCAAGCAAAATAGAGTTGTGTGGCGGGTTTATGATCTTGACGTGCACATACAGCCTTGGAGTTGACGATTCATGTGAATGCTATGTGCTTGCTGGAATCGCATTGCAGCGAGCTATGCTTCGTCCGCAAGGTACATTTGTTTCATTTCTATGATGCTGGAGCTCTGAAAGTCTTTCGTCTCGCAGGTGTTTGTTAAAGTGGACCCTCAAAACCCGCGTAAGTATTTCTTCTCTTCTTACAAGAGTTTCATGCATACGTGCAGATTCTTGCCGTCCCAGCATTGCTTTGCGTGCCGTCCATCGACCGCTCGAACTGACTGCTACCCTCCTCCATCCATTCAGCCATACTCTTCCATCCATTATGCATATAGCTCGTCTCCTCGTCCCCATTTTGTAGCTTGTCTTGTTGCGAGCATTTGTGTGATTGTGAAACTCGAGTCGCTGTTGTGATGACTCGTTTGTTCCTGGATTGAAACAGGAGAAACTATTACAGTCTGTTTGCGAGCATGAGCATGGCCAGGCTTTCTCTTTCTTTGCTCATGATAATACTGTTTTGGACATTGAGCAGATGTGCAGAGCTAGAACAGTGGAACATTTTGCGTCCTCGTCCTCATCCTCCGCGGAGAATCAACTATACCTTCTACAACGTGCTGGATTATGGCGCACTTTCTGATGGCGTCTCGGACGATTCTGAGGTAAGAGAACTCCAGGCTCGCCAGTAAGTCGAGTTGTCTTTTATATTTTCTCGTTTCTTTTTCTAATTCATCCACTCTTCCTGTAGGCATTTTTGGCAGCCTGGTCAGCCGCTTGCGAATCAAACTACTCGGTGATGGTCATACCCGAAAACGGGACTTATTTGCTCCAGCCTACCGTTTTTCCGGGTCCTTGTGGTTTGGGAATGAAAGTGCAGGTTCTGAACGTTATTTTCTCAATTGTTTCTCTCGAAGCTAACGTTTTAATCTCTCAGCTGGATGGTGTTCTAGTTGCCCCTGGATTTTTCGACTGGAACAGCACAAATCGCCGTCAGTGGCTGCGGTTTCAGCATCTGGATGGCTTCACTTTGGAAGGAACTGGAACAATTGACGGGCAAGGAGAATCGTGGTGGGAGCAGTCTTGCAAACGCAATCATTCCAACGTGAGTAGTTTTGCATTAGTTTTTCTCAGCTTGCTCGTATTTAACCTGGCTCTTCGTCGTTGTCTTCAGCCCTGCCACCCCGCACCGGAGGTAAAAACTTTTTCTTTTCTTTTCTGGATGCTCGAGTACTGACGGTTTTGCTGGTCAGGCACTTACAATCAAAAGCTGCAATAGTACCACCGTCCGGAATCTACATTTCGTCAACAGCCAGCAAATGCATCTGGTTTTTGACACTGGAGTAAACATCCGGGCAATCGGGCTGAACATCAGCGCACCGCAGAAAAGCCCGAACACAGATGGCATCCACCTCCACGACGTGCAAAGCGGATTCATCCAAGATTGCGTGATTGCCACAGGTTCAGTAGTTCTCGCGTATTTTTCCAGCTAGAGTTGTTTTCACTGAGCATCTAGAGTCCAGGTGATGACTGCATTTCGATCCAAACCGGAAGCTCGAGAATTCACATCAAGAATGTCTACTGCGGTCCTGGTCACGGAATAAGGTAACGACCTGTTCTTGCTGCTGGTATAACATTGTCCCTTCTCTTACTCGTTTTTTTCTCGATGCAGCATTGGAAGCCTCGGAAAAGATGGCTCGGCTGGGAATGTTCGTGCTGTTGTAGTAGACGGGGCCGTCTTAAATGGAACAACAAACGGCTTAAGAATCAAGTCCTGGCAGGTAACTCCCGCTTTAATCACAAGCACCATCTTTTTCATCGCTTAGCTTTCGATGGTGATCACAGGGAGGCCGTGGCAAAGTGTATGGAGTCCTGTACCAAAACGTGAGAATGATCGGCGTCGCAAATCCCATTATCATCGATCAGTACTACTGCGACTCGTCCGTTCCCTGTCTTAATCAGGTGATAGAAGCTGTTACTGTTTTCTAGTTCTAGATCTAGTTCTAGTTCTAAAGCTAGAACTTTTGGAGGTTCTCACTCCCAACTTCTTTTACAGACCTCCGGAGTGGAAGTGAGTGGAATTGTCTACCGAAACATCACAGGGACGTCGTCCACGGCGGTGGCAGTGAGATTCGCGTGCAGCGATTCAGTCTCCTGCCATGGGATCGTGCTCATGGACGTGAATCTCACCAGCGTCAAAGCGAAGAGCAGCGTGAGCTCCTTTTGCGAGAACGCACAGGGGATCGCGGTGGGCGAGAATTCTCCCCAGGGCTGCTTTGGCGACGAGGAAGACGAAGAAGAACGCGCGTCTTCCTCCATTTGAAAGGAGCGAGCGAGCGAGCGAGCGAGAGCGAGAGAGAGAGAGAGAGAGAGAGAGAGAGAGGCAAATGAGCCCACGTGTCGTATTTGCGGCCGTTTATTTTTAATCGCCGCCCGTACACCTGGTGGGCCGTACGGACGCGTCACGCGAATCGCTATTTACCTCAGGAATCGAGTAATTGGGATTTTTTTTTACCTCATTTGTTGCTACAGTAGTGGAGGCGTTCTCTCTTTTTTTTCCTTCTCACCTCCACATTGAAAGCTTTTGGCTATGGCGGAGGAGGGCGATCTTTGAGCTTTCGAAAGGCGGGGCTTTATTAGGAAGGAGGACAAAAGTGGGGGCGATGGCGATGGCGCTGGCTATGGCGGTCGAGGCGTGATTTTCGAGCTGGGGAGGGGCGATTCGAGCGGCGTCCCGCGGCATCTTGACGGCGCTTGATCAGGTCAGGATAGGTTTCTTTAGGAATCGCTCGGTTTCTGGGCTCTAGGTGTGCCGATCTGCATTCTTCGCAGCTCCGGATCGATCTTAGGCTATTCTTTTTGCTGGCAGAGCGCTGCGCGGATTTATTTCTTTCTTTTTTGTTCCTGCCGGGAAAAAAATGCTGGCTGTGAAGAATGAGGAGGTGGAAATCCCTCTTGAGAAAGACGAGCGCATCATGTACACTCTTGTCCGGGTAAGAGTTCTTCTTTGTTTTTTCTTCTGTTTTTTTTTTTGTTATAAGTCTTCGTTTTCTTGTTTTTTTTTTCAAACAGATTGACGAGAATGGGATGATGTTTCCTACTACCGATGAGGATCTCATGGAAGTTGAATCACTGATTCAAGGCGAGAGTTCTGAGGACGATCATACCGATCAAGACGATGAGAAAGACGATGCACGTAAGTTCCTTTCACCTTTGTCTTTGTTTCTTTGTCTTCCTATTCAAGAATTGCTTCGTCCAGGACCCATGGAGGAAGACTTGGAAGACGTGAAGTTGAGATTGCTCAAGCAGCTAGAGGTATGCCTCTCGTTATCTTTACCACGCGTTTCACCACCTGATGGTTGACTGTAGGTTGTAGATACTATGCTCTTGAAAGTCAAGACGGAGGAAGATCAAAGAGCTTTAGAGAGTTCCGGCTATAATGGTGCGAAGTTCACGTACAAGAGACGGCGTCGGCCTAATCCAAAATACTTCAACATAAACGCCTTCGACTGCACCGGCGAGCTTCCTCCTTCTGAGCAAATGGTGGCCCAAGTCAAGGTTGAGCCATTGAAACTGATGGAAGAAGAGCCTATCTGCAGCAGCTCTACACCCGGTACTATTACTCCTCAATTCGATGCTTCTTATACTCCACCCAAGCTTTTTCTAGACAACCTTTCTATCAGGGCACTGCAAGACACTTACAGGAACACGTTTGGTCGGGTGACTTCGGCTAAAGACAAGCACTGGCTGAAGCAGAAAATCACCAAAGGCCTGAATTCTATGAACGAGAGCTCGGCACAGGCAGTGGTGGTGGCTGCACAGGCACAGGAAAATTTGTTGAAAGAACGCCTTGAAGGCGAGACTTCCGCGGAGCAGCCTTTTGGCATGGAAAAGCAGGAGGAGGACGTCAAGCCGGTGGTATTAGGTACCTCGCCAACCATTTCCTTAGACGCCTCGACAACCACAGTGGTGAGCAGGCCTAGCGACGGGCAGTCCCATCTCAACGAAGTCCAGAGTTTGGAAGGAAAGAGGCACCGGAAGCCAAACAGGAGATATGTGGAAGAAGAAGCTGATGATGTTGCGTCATTTGTTCCATCGATGAGCAGTCCCGAGGATCAACAACAGCAGCTGCAAGTGGACTTTTGGAAGTCAGACGGTGAAGATGGTGATCCCGATGATCCAGATGTTGATGGCGACGACCTGGACGAGTGCTTTGATCTGAATGGCAGAGAGCTCGACTCGATGTCACCGGACGGTTCCTTTGGTGCCCGGAGTCGCAATCGCATGGGTGTAAGTGTTCTGGTAACTTTTGCGTGCTTCTCCGGCTCACGTTTTGTTGTTGTAGGAGCTGAAGGCCGAGCGACGAGCAGCGCAGCTTGTAAAAATGGCTCGAAATGCAAGGGCGGCTAAACGCGACGCGAACACTAGCATCAGGAAAATCAAGTTCAAGCTTCCATCTGCTCCCGGCCAGGACAATGTAAGTTTTTCTCATTAGTTCTGTTTCAACTCAACACTGTCTCGCAGGACGAAAACTACGAGCCTAATGACGAGTCCGCGGATCAAGTCTCGTGCATGCTTCCTTCTGTGTCAGACGAATTGCAGCCATCTGACACTGAGGACCAGGATACAGATCGAAAGTCGGGATCGCGTAGGAAGCACCATAGACCCTGGACGCTGCGGGAAGTAATGGCTTTGGTGGACGGAGTTTCTCGCTGTGGCACTGGAAAGTGGGCCGACATCAAGAGACTTGCGTTCTCTGCCATCGCTTATCGAACTCCAGTTGACTTGAAGGTAGAAAACCATCCCAAATTCTCTAGTTTAGATGGTTGAGAGTTTCCTGATCGAACTAATGCAGGACAAGTGGCGAAACTTATTACGAGCCAGTCGAGTACATTCACATTCTTCGCGTCAGGTATGTGATATCTTTCACAAGCTATAGTGGTACATAAATGTCTTCTCTCTTTTTTTTCTTCTCACAGGTGTCCGAGCAAGGTGAGAAGCGGAGAAAACATTTCTCGGTGTCGATTCCCGCTCACATTTTAGCTCGGGTGCGAGAATTGGCGGCACAGCCGGGCCAAACTTTGAAGCTCCCAGTGATACGATCGACGCGAAGCCGGCGAATGGTCCAGCGAAAGATTTGATTCCCAGGACGAAGGCTTGTAATAACGAGGGTGGAGCTGCTGTAAAAATGTTAAAAAGGAAAAAAAAGAGCTTTTTTTCGCCTTGACATCTTTGTAGGAAAAGATGGTTTTTTTTTTTTTTTGTTTGATTTACATTGCATAGTAATCTATTGTGATTTCCTTGGCATTCTTGGAGTCGAGCTTTTTGTTTTCGTAGCGTAATTGGAGGTATTCACCATGCATGAAAGGTCTGTACTTTGGTATTTCGTGCGCGGTGAAAGCGTCTAGAGGGGAGATTTGCGTGGTTGGCACTGGCATATGGAAGTAAGCAAAGGAGTAGCGATCCATTTGTGAGCCGGACACTCTATGCAAAACACTCTTGTATCGCCCATTGCTCCACACCTTACAAACACCATAGAAAAGAAAAACATTAGCTTAGATCAAACGATAGAAATAATCAAAGATTTTACCTGGAGAACATCACCAACGTTGATAACCAGGGCATTTTCCACTGGTTTTACAGGAACCCAGATCTCTTGCTGGTCTTTCTCGTGTAAAACTTCGAGGCCTTGGGCATTGTTGAGCTGGGCGACGATGGTGAGAATATCTCCATCTCGGTGCTTGGCAAGAACCGGGCCTTCGTATCCCTCTGGACATGCTGGGTACTTCAGCATGATCAGAGCATCGCCGGCTTTGTACATCTCCAGACGTTGCTCGTTGGGAAGGCCAAGGCTCTCGCTCATGATCTGCACGAGAAAACTTGCAGTTTTCCGTGCTTCCAGAATCAAGTTCTCGGCTGTTGGCCTTCAAGGAGAGAAACCGAAAACATGCAAATCAATAGATCAACTTCCTAAAACGTTCTCATACCTGAAAGTCGATGGATTCTCAGGCCAAACGTTATTGGACGCTGGATTGTCACTTACGTGCGCAAAGAAATGCTCTTTTCTATCAACCATTCCACCAACACCGCTCTTGTTTACATATCCCACGGGTGGATGGCTGGTTTCCATCTTGGTTTTCTCTTCTTCTGGAAGAGAGAAGAACTCCTTGCAATTGTGCAGCACCTTGCTCAAGAGCTTCAAATCCAGGCCATGGTTGATCACCTGGAAGAATCCCCATTCCTCGCAGGCCTTGGAGATTTTCTCTAGAACTTCGACTCTGGGAGCGTTTCCCGCCTGGTGCAAAGGAGCGAGATCAATGAGAGGAATGCTAAAATCTTCTGCCATAGCTATAAAATCACTTATGCATTAGCAGGAGATCGCTGGTTTTGTAAACACCGTCAAGATGCTCAATGCTATATGCCAAGTATGAGAAGTCCAATTTAATGAATATTCCTCTCTTTTGTCCTACGCCATCTTTTCAAACGTAATTAGCGGAAACGGATGTTCATCCATGGGGCTGATCGCGCGTGGGTGCCGTTGACCAGACCACGGTCGCGGAATTTTTTTAATTTTCCCTTCAACTTTGTCGATGGTTTTGGTTTGTAAATATTTTTTAAAGCCATAGTAACGATCGATTAACTCAACAGAAATGGTCCCATAGTCTAGTGGTTACGACATTGGACTTTGAATCCAAGAGCCCGAGTTCGAATCTCGGTGGGACCTTAATTTAAACCGTTCTTCGAACAGGAAAGAGACTACGATGACCATCCAATTTCTTTCTACCCTTATTATAGAAACTTGCAAATGTGAAGGAAGCTCTGGATATATGGATCGGCAGTGGCCGCGATAAGTGATCACGCGACGACTACCATACTCATATCAAAACATTATGTTACTTTCTCATGTAGTTTGGATTTGGAAAAGCGTGATGGGACCATACCAAAGGTTCCAATGCAGTTATTCTTGTATCTTTCTTTGGTTTTGGCAGGCGGAGCTTGCCATTGCTAATGGAGAGCTAGACAAATCCCGGAATTTGTTTCACAGCGGTTTTGTTACTATTAGATCCTCGGCTGTTCTTGGATCCTATAAAATCTCTGCAAGCATCCGAGGCTTGCGTGAAAGATAGGTTTGCAAGTTTGACTTTGCGATGGAAGTTGCCATGCTGATCAAACAAAGTTCTCTCTTCGTTTTTTTTTTTTTTTTTTTCATTAAAAACGCGTTCACGATTTGAAGCTTTCGTTCGTGTCAAGTCTGTTTCCATACAATGGGAGCACTAAGGCCTTTTGATCCGCTTATGAACCATAACTTTGGCTTGACAGTCTTCAGTAGGCGTTAACTCAGTGCTTAATATTTGTCTCAAAAGTGAGTGAGTCTTCTTTCTTTCTGCAGTCAAATGGCTCTATAACATATGGAACAACTGGAGGTGCATATATTAGCTCCTGAATTCTTGCTCTAACGTGATCTCTCTTTGCAGTGCGATGCCTGCCGAGTGCCTGACTGCACCACCGCCATCACCAAATCCATTGAGTACGGCCCAGCCATGGAAGCACCGGGAGAGGCAGCAGAAGACCAGAAATTTAAGGCATATTAACATGCAAGTCTTCAAAGGCTGTCGCTTTTCTGTATCTTGCAAATAAAATGAAATGAATGAAACTAAAAAATCAAAGATCACTATTCAAGTTCTTCTGTTCTTGATCTAAAACTTAAACATTCTTAGTGTGCTAGAATATTCTTAAAATATTCTTGTCAACGGTAATGGCTCCCTTGGCTCCCTGTATTGGTGGATCCAGATCAAAGTAGCGAAGTTTGAGCAGGAAGATCAAGCATCTTAAAGACAAAACAAAGAAAACTGTTGGCAATATTTTTGGTTGTTGGTAGTAAATATACTTAGAATATGCTTGGGTATTCTAGGATATTCTACCATCTAACAGTTATTATTTATTTAGATTAATCTTGTATTTATAATTTATAAACTTTCTTAAACTTATAATTATATACTTTATTTGATCAATTAGATTAATAAGTAATAATAAAACTACTAATAAGCAAACCAAGTGTTGCTATATTCAATGCGTAGCAATTTATTATTAAATAGGTTCAGACATTGCAAAGAAATAGATGGTAGAATAAAAAAGAATATACTAGAAAGTGTTTTAGAAAGTTTATAAACTATAAATATGTTTGTAAATTATAAATACTGGATTAACCTAAATGAATAACAACTGTTAAATGGTAGAATATTTTAAAATATTCAAGAATATTCTAGATATATCTAGTTTATTATGCCAAACTTAAATAAGGAACTGCTCAAGAATCACTGCTCTTTGCTGGAGAGCTTTGTCTTCAATCAGAGTACGCAAGTTGTGATGTATGCCACTGCAAGCAACATCCCTGGCCAGTTGAGCAGCTCTGAGTGAAACTCAAGAAGAGATGATGAGCCTAGCGACCATCACAGCCAGGATGCAGCTTAGGAAGGGATCAAGACGAGATTGCAGCAAGGAAACTCGAAGATGACTGGCCAGGATGCAGCTTGCGAACTCGGATCAAAGCTCTCCACAGAAACTGGAAGGAGGCTGGTGTCCAAAGACTATAAGTTGGACTTGTCTGATCTAATCCGAACGCTCAATTGATGACGTGGTAGGGCTCTTGTAGATTAGTGATTGAGCAAACACAAAAAGCGATTGAAGCAAATAAAAAAATCAGACATGTTTCTATTCCCAGCCATTTTTAATTCTTTTGTTTGCTCCAGGGGATTAGCACTGTTGCGGTATAATGTACAGCTTCAGCGAGGAGCAAAGTAAACCAGTGTCAGATGGCAGCAAGATGGCGAGAAGGTGATCTAGCTGAAGCTGGGGGTTTCGGATTCACAGAGAGGCTGCGGAGACTATAAGACAGACTACGCTCAACGTACTTTGTCATCTGGTAAAGCAGTTGATGGTGTCCTCCATGAAGTGTTGGAAGGAGCCAAGATTGGCAGCTCTTGGTCCATCCTTGCTTTTATTTTCTTCCCTTGTGTTACTATGAGGGGGATTGCCGAGCTCTACCAAATTGACCATAAAATGGACTTTGACTGACTGCGTGTGAGAATAAGAAACGAATAGATCGCCACTTTACCTTGACTAAGAGAAGAGTGATGATGCGTCTTCTTCCTCTAGCAGCTTCGATTTTGAGTTTTTTTTTGGTTCTTAGATCTGGGCGTGCCCAAGTTCCTGCATTCTTCGTCTTTGGTGACTCTTTGACAGATCCCGGAAACAACAAGTTCCTCGTCACCAGCATTTCGGCCAAATGGAATCGATTTCCCAGGAGGGAAGGCGACAGGAAGGTTTTGCAATGGATTCACAGTCGTGGATCTCATTGGTAAGCAAGGCAAATTGATCTACACATTTTCTGAGTTTGTTTTGTTTCCACCAGCTCAAGAACTTGGGCTTCCTCTAGTCCCTGCTTATCACGATCCCAACACAAAAGGCAGTGTGATCCTCAAAGGAGTAAGCTACGCATCAGGCGGCGCTCGAATCCTCAATGATTCCTCCGTGAACTTCCTCCAGAATGTAAAGTGTTTAGTTTGGGCTTTTGAAGCGTGTTGACCATCCATCCTTGGACCTTTGACCAGATCCAGCAGATCCAGAATTTCGTCAACACTAGGTCTGAGATCGTTTTGCTTGTGGGAGGCGAGGACCCCGCATTTGATCTTTTGTCACGGTCAATATTTTTGTTTGCTCTTGGATCCAACAATTACTTGAATTACATGAACAGCACCAGGAGCAAATCTCCGCAAGAATTTCAAGATGAAGTAATCTCTGCATACAAAGGCTACTTGAATGTAAGTGATTGCTTTTCTTGCTCAATAACTCATTTCATTTGATTTGATTTTGATTCAACACGGTGATTTACACGGTGTAATTTTGATTCTCAACAGAGAGCCTATCAACTAGGAGCTCGCAAAATAGTGGTTTTTGCTCTTGGACCACTTGGTTGCATTCCATTGCAATATTTTGGGAGCAAATGGCAAGGCTTGCCATGAAGAAGCCAACACTTTGGCCGTGAATTTTGACAGAGCACTCAAGGATATGGTTTCAGGGATGAATCGAGACATGAATGGAGCGAAGATGGTGTTTGGAACTACATATGATCTATTTTACGATGCAACAAACAACCTTCAAAATATGGTAAGCTTAACACAAATTCATCATTTGCTCATTGTAATTTGTATGACAGGATTTGTGAATGGCCGTGATGCTTGTTGTGGAGTATCACCCTTGAGATTATTTGCTTGTTTACCATTAGGATCAGTTTGTTCTACGAGAAACCAATACTTCTATTGGGATGCTTATCATCCAACAGAGTCTGCAAACCGTCTCATAGCCTCTTCTATATTAAGTGGGAACAAAACAATTATGTTTCCATTTAATCTAAAGCAGCTTATTGATCTCTAGTTATATGAACAAAACCATTGCATCATAGAGTGAGCGTATACAAAATTATATATTGTAATTGGGATTAGGCTGTAAGAATGAATTCAATCTGAAACTTTTGAGGATTTGTTTCCTTCCAAATAAAAGCTTATGGAACATTTAGTTGTTTTTAAACAATTGCCAGCCATTGTTGGTGGATGGAACTCATCTTAAAGGCCATTACTTGCTTATTAGGACAATGTAGAGTGGTTAACTCAAGGAAAGATGATAGCTAGCTTAGTTTTACAAAATTTGAAAAAGCCCTCAAAAGCCTCTAAAAATTTCTTCAAGTTGAGTTTTGAGTTGCTCCATTTCTTTTAGAAAGCTGTTCATTAGGATATTTTCTCCTATTTCTTTCAAGGATAATCACTTGTGTGAGAGACATGAATAAAAAAAATTGACATAGTGATAAGGGGTGACAACATCCTTTGAAGATGAGTGAGTGATTTTACACTTCATATCCAAATTGTGGACGAGATGAAAGAATTACTAATATTTAATATGCTAGAGATTATATGGATGAAGGGCCAAAACATGGATGAAGTTGTAGCACTCTAGGCTCAAAGTCACCCTACTTAGGATTTAAGAAGTGTTTACATAGTAGTATGTATTTGAAGCACTAACATGTTTGAGTAAAAGTCAAAGAACAAAAAATTTATAAGATTGAGTGGGTTATATGTCAACTTGAAGTAGGATTTATAGTCAAGTGTTTTGCTTGGATTAGAGAAAAATTATATAATAAGTACATTACCATAGGAACTTTATGCACTTTATCCCCTTGTTTTTGGGGATGACAATAATATAATGATCCTCCAGAACACTATGATTAGTTCATATGGTTTTATCCAATAAAATTTCCACACACATAATTTGTTATAGAATAGATTATCCAAA